TATGGTACCATTAAGTTCCTATTTCAGAACTCAATCCCTTTTTCAGAATCACAATTTCCGTTAGAATTCCAATATGTGAACACTCAGGTTCACCGGCTTCGATCCTCACCTTCTAGGATCAAACCTCACCAATCTGTTTCCATCACCTCCGATAACGTCTCACTAATTCCATGACCTCCAAAATCAGCTACTTGCATACAATCCTCACCTCCTAGGATTGATGCTCAACAACAACGGACCAATATCCAACAACATGAATGCATGCAACATATTAATAATGCATCAACAACATCAAATACAATGACCAATACCTCCATAGTCATGTACTCTGCTAATACTGGCCATCACACTCAAAATACATGTTAAGACAGTTCCACAACAGCAACACAACGACATAGAAAACAACCACAATACATTTATGAGTATTTCACATCACAACATAAGCATTACAATGCATTTCAGCCACCACCCAAAAAAAATACAACTTTTGGAATAGAAATTATTTTTATAAGGAAGTTCGTCACGTTAGCTTTCCAACACTTTGAACGGCACTCGAATCGGACACTCGAAACTAAAGTTATGAATTTTTAAAGTTTTTCCAAGAATGTTTCCAGTGTAATCGATTACCATAATCAGGGTAACCGGTTACACCCCTTGTAACCAGTCACACCACGAAAAATACACATAGTGTAACGAATTATCCTAATCAGGATAATTTGTTACACCCTGCCAAAATGCCCAAAACGCAGTTTTAAGTCGTGTAACCGGTTACCATGATCAGTGTAACACCTTTCTAAACCCCGCGGAATATATATAAATAATCAGAGTAAATTATCATGCATCGCAAATAAGGGTGTCACATATAATTCAAAACATCACACGTATATTTGTCATCATATAACAACTACCGTGAAAATTAGGAATTTTTATCCTAAATATGCTACTACCCATCATACACTATCATACAATCTCATAACCATGTAAAAACACACCCTTATCTTAATTTCTTAATGAACTCTTGAGTTTTCTCCTTAGGTTTTCTTCTCCTCTTTTCCCCTTTTCCTTTTCTATATGATAACTTCTTTTCCTCTTTTTTCTCATTAACCCTATTTTTCTCCTTATATATAAAACTCTTGTAACAACTAATTCTAATAACTAATGGGCTTATAATCATACCCCACCTTTACTCTTCACATTCTCATCCAATAGGCTCAATTACTTATTTCTATCATTTTCACATATTATTTCACCAAATAAAATAAACCAATTAAATCAAATAATTCAATTAAATCAAATAATTTAAATAAATCCAATAAATCAAATATGCATAAAATCACTCAATTAGTTAATATAAATAAATAATTACTAAAAATTGGGGTGTTACAATCAGGGTAACCGATTAAACTGTTGACATAAACACTTTTCTGCAACTTTTGAAAATTAAATTAACTTTTAAGTCAACCCTAAAATCTCATTTTTATACCATTCAATTAACACATATTTTTACCCCAAAAATCACTTTTCTAAACATCAAAACTTCAACTTTTTTCACAAAAATGCTCATAGCTTTGAGTCCTGACTCTCACTCGTAACAACATCAACCATGTAACATCAACAACATACAATCCAATTGATTACATGATTCCAACAACAACAATAACATCAATGCGTCATTTTAACATCAGTTACATCAGCAACATCAACGCACAATGCATCATTTATCAATAATTTCATACATCACACAATCATCAATTCAAATAACCAACCACCCCCCTTTAGCTGTGTGATTCCTAACACCCCACACCAATTCAAAAAATAACTTATCCATACAACGTAAGCTAAAACAAGAAATTTTATAAATAGGTAATTTACCCTCCTAGTCCTAGAATCAAATTACAAACTCAAAGTTATTCTTTGCTTGACAACACTACCAACTACTAAAAGAATAAAATAACAAAAGTAAAAGCCCCTAGTAGCAAATAGAAAGTCACAGATTACACGTATACGCGCGCGTATATAATACTTTCATTTTGATTTAAAAGGAAAAAATCAAATTTCCGTTGCTATTTATTTCTGTAATTGATCGTTCCACCTTCAATGGCGTCTCAAGATTCAAAGCCTCCGAATCACGCGTTTCTCAGTATCTGCAAATCTCTTGCCGCTGGTGGAATCGCCGGTGGAGTGTGAGCGTTTCACTGCGTTTTATCCTTTTCAATTCGATTCTGTTTGTGATTTCTTGATATTGTATTTTCACTAGTAATTTGATTCTGTTTGTGATTTCTTGCTATTGTATTTTCCCGATAGTTCGCGAACAGCTGTGGCTCCTCTAGAAAGATTGAAGATTCTACTGCAAGTAATTATTTCCCTTTAATTTTAAACTGATTTCGTACTATTGTTGTTGTTCAGTGAATAAGACAATTTTGAAAATGCAGGTTCAAAATCCACACAATGTAAAATACAATGGAACAGTTCAAGGCTTAAAATATATATGGAAAACGGAGGGTTTTAGGGGGATGTTTAAAGGAAACGGAACCAATTGTGCTCGTATTGTTCCGAACTCAGCAGTCAAGTTCTTTAGTTATGAGCAAGCATCTAAGTATGTTATGCACATCAACTGTTTGTTTCTTTTCATTTATCTTTGGTAAATTTGTTATTTCAATGTGCATCTGATTACTGCTTTATACTAATGCAGGGGTATTCTAAGTCTCTACCGGTTGCAAACTGGAAATGGTACTGAACTACTTCTCCCTTTATAATCTATTATGGATCTACTAGATAGAATATTTTCTTCATCATGGCGCCATGATCTGGATAGAAGTATGGTCCTAGATAGAACATTATAACGTAAGTTGATCCATGTAGCCGATCCCAGTTAGTGAGATAAGACTTGGTTGTTGTTGTTGTATGGTGCGGTGATCTCGATAGACCCACTTAGTGAGATAAGACTTTTGTTGTTTTTGTTTTTGTTATTGTATGGCAAGGTGATCTCAATAGAAGCATGGTCTTTGATAGAACATTATGGCGAAAGTTGATCCATGTAGCCGATCCCACGTAGTGAGATAAGACTTGGTTGTTGTTGTATGGCGCGGTGATCTCGATAGAAGCATGGTCTTGGATATAACATTATGACGTAAGTTGATCCATGTAGCCGATCTCATTTAGTGTGATAAGACTTGGTTGTTATTGTTGTATGACGTGGTGATCTCGATAGCAGCATGGTCTTTGGTAGAACATTATGGCGAAAGTTGATCCATATAGCCAACCTTAGTGGGATATGACTTGGTTGTTGTTGTTATTTTAATCTGTTAATTTGATGATACCTTTAAATTCTCCCTATGAATTTCTTATCTGAGTATGGTTTTTTCTCCTCATTAGAGTTATTAGCTCCTGCGTATCCTTCAATTTGCATTTTTATTCATGTTATTGTTGGGAGTTTTACCAATCTTTCAAACTTCAAGGCTATGTCCACATTTTTCTTTTTTTCTTTTTTTTTGGTGCAGAAGAAGCTCAACTCACTCCTCCTCTGCGTCTTGGAGCTGGGGCTTGTGCGGGAATCATTGCAATGTCTGCAACTTATCCTATGGACCTGGTGCGAGGTCGCATAACTGTACAGGTATTGTTAAAGATAATTCTTTCTGAATTGTTGGTTGTAGAATTTGAGGATAACTTATTGACTTACTATTTAGCTTTGTTGTCTATTAAGTCTAAGTTTAACTCATTTTCAAGGATTCTACAGACAGAAGCATCTCCTCGTCAATACAGAGGGATTTTTAATGCTCTTTCAACAGTCTTCCGGGAAGAAGGCGCAAGAGCATTGTATAAAGGATGGTTGCCTTCAGTCATAGGAGTTGTGAGTAAACAACTATTGATTCTTGAAATACATATTGTGCAGATGAGCCCTGATCAGTTTCAAAACAATGTTTTTACCTTTATGTTTCTGTTACTATGTTGTGTGCAGATACCGTACGTTGGTCTAAATTTTTCTGTATATGAATCTCTGAAAGATTGGTTGATTCAAACAAAACCACTTGGAATAGCACAAGACTCGGAGCTAAGTGTGACCACAAGGCTTGCATGTGGGGCTGCAGCTGGAACTATTGGCCAGACGGTGGCATACCCCCTTGATGTAATTCGCAGAAGAATGCAGATGATGGGATGGAAAGGTGCTGCTTCCGTTGTCTCTGGTGATGGGAAGGGGAATCTTGAGTATACTGGCATGGTTGATGCATTCAGTAAGACTATAAAGAATGAGGGATTTGGAGCTTTATACAAGGGCTTAGTCCCCAATTCAGTCAAGGTTAGTTGATCAGATAGGCCATTTGCATAACTAATTACTTTTCATGTTCTAATGCTTTATGTTTTAAATCATTTATCTGAGTGAATAAGATAAAGCTTTTTAGTTGTTTAATCTTATCTTTTCCTAGAGGAATTTAGAGTTTTGGATACATAATTGAACAAAAACATGGGGAGAATGACTTTTTCACCAATTTTATCATTGAAAACAAAAGATCGGCACCAATTAGTAATAAGTGATTATACAGAAGATCAGCATTTTCAATTGCAATTATTCTCTATTGGTTTCAGGTGGTCCCTTCCATTGCCATTGCCTTCGTGGCATACGAGACGGTCAAGGATGTTCTTGGAGTTGAAATGAGAATATCTGATTGAAGATTTAACAATTGTATGATGCTTAAGGTTTGACATTTGAAAATATTTTTTTTAATTTTATTAAATTGTAAAATGCTATAGTATTTATCATTTTTTGTTAGAATAAAAAATGTATACAAAACACATTGAACATAAATTTTCATTATTTTCACTGATTTTATGTAGATAGTTAAAAATGAAATAACAATCCTAAGATGATGTTCTTATGGATTATTTTCTTCAAAGTTCAATTTTAATCAAAGATGGTGATGTTATTAGTGATTATTTTTGTGTTTCATTAGCTTACAAATACATATACAGTGAGGAAAACTTACATTTTAAGTTTAACAAACTCACTTCATGTTCTTTATCCTCAAATTTAACATAGAATCCTTCAGATAGAGACAACGGTCACGATGAAAATCGGTCAAAAAACAAAGTTGTCTTATTGCTTCCTTCTTATTCTCCCCAAGGCTAACCAATTCACAATCTTTCTCTTTCAGTTTCTTTTCCAATTTCATCGTTTTCCTTTCAAGTTGTGTCACTGCTTTCATCAAATTCATTTTTTCTCCTTCCAAGCTCATATCAGCTTCTAATTTTAACACCTTTTCTCTAAGCATCCTAATTTCATCTTCATAATCAGCAATTTTTTCACCAAACACTTTGCTCTCTTCCTCGTACTTTTGCTGTGTCGATTTGTAAGTGTCTTTGTTTTCGTTATTCAGCAGTTCTGTCACGTGGACCCTCCGATGCAATATGCGTATATTGTCTTCAATTTTCTGCCGAACTCCTTCTGCCAATTCTTCCATTTTTCTTTCCATCAATTGTTTATTCAATTTGGACTGTTTGTTCTCTTCACGTTTTTGATCAATGGTTTCTGTTAGCTTCTTTATTCTTTCTGAATATTCCTTTTCACTTTGCTCATTTTGTAACTTCAACTCGCTTTTCTTTTTATGCAAAGCATTTATCTCCCACATTGCATCTCTTAACTGTTCTTCCAAATGCTTTTCTTTGCTGCATTGAGATTCCAATTCCGTTATCCTTTCAATGAAACATTGTTTCTCTTCTAGTAGATTTTGTTTAGTTGAAACAGTTTCAGCCAAATTCTCCTCCAAGTTTTTTATCTGAATCAAATATTGTGAAACTTTTTCCCTCTGATTTTCTAGTTGAGATTCTAAATCGGTGTTCTTGTCGCATACAGACTCAATGTCTCTTAACTGTTCTTCCAAATCCTTTTCTTTGCTGCATTGAGATTCCAATTTCGTTATCCTTTCAATGAAACATTGTTTCTCTTCTAGCAGATTTTGTTTAGTTGAAACAGATTCAGCCAAATTTTCCTCCAAGTTTTTTATCCGAATCAAATATTGTGAAACTTTTTCCCTCTGATTTTCTAGTTGAGATTCTAAATCGGTATTCTTGTTGTATACAGACTCAAGGTCTCTTAACTGTTCTTCCAAATCCTTTTCTTTGCTGCATTGAGATTCCAATTCCGTTATCCTTTCAATGAAACATTGTTTCTCTTCTAGCAGATTTTGTTTAGTTGAAACAGTTTCAGCCAAATTCTCCTCCAAGTTTTTTATCTGATTCAAATGTTGTGAAATATTTTCCCTCTGATTTTCTAGTTGGGATTCTAAATCGGTATTCTTGTTGCCTACAGACTCAAGGTCTCTCGACCGTTCTTCCAAATCCTTTTCTTTGCTGCATTGAGATTTCAATTCCGTTATCCTTTCAATGAAACGTTGTTTCTCTTCTAGCAGATTTTGTTTAGTTGAAACAGTTTCAGCCAAATTCTCCTCCAAGTTTTTAATCTGAATCAAATATTGTGAAACCTTTTCCCTCTGATTTTCTAGTTGAGATTCTAAGTCGGTATTCTTGTTGCATACAGACTCAAGGTCTCTTAACTGTTCTTCCAAATCCTTTTCTTTGCTGCATTGAGATTCCAATTCCGTTATCTTTTCAATGAAACGTTGTTTCTCTTCTAGTAGATTTTGTTTAGTTGAAACAGTTTCAGCCAAATTCTCCTCCAAGTTTTTTATTTGATTCAAATATTGTGAAACTTTTTCCCTCTGATTTTCTAGTTGAGATTCTAAATCGGTATTCTTGTTGCATACAGACTCAAGGTTTTGCTGCATGACATTAATTTTATCAGTAAATTCCTTCTTTTGCTTCGATGCTTCATTTACTTTTTCTTCAATTGGTGCCATCAAATCTGAAGTTTTGGACATTGTGTGTTCCTCATTGTTCTTGAGTTTCGCATGTAACTCTGACAGTGCTTTTTCAAGCTTAGCATTCTTTGCGCGTATCTGTGTCACTTCATTTGCTTCTAACTCATTTGCTTCTGTTGATTTTTGAGTTTCGAGAGCGTCAACAGTGTTGAGTAATGGGGAAAAGTACTCGGAGTCTAAGCTACTGCAAGAGAGGGAAGAAGCCCTCTTTATTCTATGATGAGCTCCTTTCATATTTGCTCTGGTAAGACGACCGTACGATGCGTCCAGTGTTTGATACTGATTGTAGATGTCCTCGACTAGTCCCTCAAATTCCGTCTCTTTCCTCGAGTTGTCTTCTTTTTGCCTTTCTCCTTCACTCTTAATTAGCTGTAGGGCTGTTGAAAAGTTTTTTTCAATATCTGCATGTGAATGAGAAATAAATCTTGTTATACATTATTCTCTTAATCTTAAAGTTCTGGAGAATCAAAATTTGTTTCGAAAGTATTTTCTTTCTCGTTCAATATCTGTGATATCTCACGTCCATTTGAATCTACAAATTGTTGCTCCAATAAAACATTTGTAAAGAATCACTTGGACACGAGAAAACTCTATTCAACGTATATCCAAATACATGCTTAACTAAGCATGAAATCAATGCTGAGATGCGAGAAAGACGATTCAAACTTATGTATACATGTTCACAACAAAAGAATATGCACCTGTTTTGGTTCTTCTGAGCTCGTGAGATTTTTCAGGACAAATTTGATTCCCAAATGACATAGATAATTCCCTCAAGTGGCGTTTGATCATCCTTCTACCATTGGGACAATCCTGAAATTATGCAGTTTTACATTCAATGAAAATTCATTTTTTGCGATTATTTTTAACTTGGAAATACAAATTCGGCATTATAGAAATTCAATTATTTCATGCATATGTTGACTTTTATAACCGGTTTAACATTTAATTTTATGCTGATACATTACATTATTTAATGTTTATTCTGTGTTTCTTATGCATTGCAAATTAGACAACACATTTTCTTCAACGAAATGTAAATGAAGCATGTGTGATAATATATTTCAATCAATTTCAACTTTTACTCAAATATATATATAAATACATATTGAAAATCGTTATGTTACCTGGGAAATTGGAAGTTGATTTCCACCAACGTTAAAGGATTCAGAAATATTGAAAAGAAAAAGGAAAAGCAAATAAGTAAAAAAAGTTAGTAATTTTGGGGGTGAAATAAAAAATTAAAATGAAAGGATGTCTAATAATAAACATTTTATCGTCAAAAAAAAATTATTATTCTCATGTGTCCTGATTTTATTTTATTTTGGTTAAAAATGTGTGGATATTTTAGGTGCCCCAGGATGCTTTTAATCATTTAAATATGGATCATAATTATATTTATTTATTTATTTTAAAAAATCAAAGTTCATATTTGATCTGACCTGATCAGAAGGGGATCACTGGCTGGCCATGCGCTGTTGGACGGCTGTCTGTTCACCGGTGATGAGGAGGAGGAGGGGGGTGTACCTGCAAGGAGTGATCACAAGTACAGAAAAAGGGGTAAGAAGTGAATTACCTGACCCTCATACTTTGCTTCAAGAATCCCCGACTATAGTGCATTAGGCTCATGAATGAACCTCCACAACCACTTAGATAACAACACTATATTAAAAACACTAACGTCTTTGATTCCCAAGCCACTCACATCCTTGGGCTTGCACACCAAATACCACCTCACTAATGACATACTACTTTATTCAGTCGACCCAACCCACAAAAGTTTCCTCTGTATCGACACAATCTCCTTGATTACTTTGGTTGACGCTTTGAAGAAAGATAGATGATGATGAATTGGCATGTTTGTAAGCACCGAGTTAATTAGCGTCACCCTACCCCCAATAGATAAAAGCCTACCTATCCACGAGGATATCCGCGACTTGATACACGAGAGAATCGGTTTCGAAAAAGAAACCATCCTATGGTTGCCTCCAATAGATAAGCCAGAAAATTCAAAAGGAAGCTGTCCAGACTTGCAAGCTAGAAATTGTAAGGCTACTCTCAAGAATTATTCATCAACATGTATACCATACAAGCAACTTTTCCAAAAGTTGATTTATGAGCCAGAGATTCGAACCCTCTAATAATGGACTTAATACCCTGTAAGCTTGACCAAGAAGCCACACACGCAATTATCGTGTCATCTACAAATTGTAGTAAGCTGATGGAATATTCATAATTCAAATAGACCTCTCTCAACATGTTCTTGTTAGCAGCCTTCCTAACCAAGTAAGCGAACCATTACACCACTGATGCAAACAAAATGGAGACAAGGGGTCTCCTTGTCCAAGGTCTCTAGATGCCTTAAAGTCCTTAGTCGCACCCCCGTTAACTAACACCAATAAATAGCTATTGAAAAATGATTTTTTCATCCAATTCAACCATTTATCACCAAAACTCATTGCCACCAATACCTCTTTCTAAGAAACCCCAATCGACGTAGTCATAAGCTTGAGAAAAATCCACTTTAAAAAGTAAACAACTTTTCTTCTTCCTTATAGCAAAATCATTTAATTTGTTTTCCACAACAACTCCATTCCCTTTGAAGCTAAATAGAGGATAAAACACATTATTCTTCCAGATTGAAAGAATGCCCCCATATAAGCCTAATGATGTTGTAGCATACCTATCAAAATCATCATTACCCCATAGGCTCCTAACCAGCTTGTCATCCACAACCTTAATTTTCGTTTTATGCAAAAAAACAAAAATATGTTTTGCCCTTAGAAACTAGTTGACACACTTTTTTTCTCTTTATGGAAGAGCCACACCCACGAACATTGAAAGTCATAAGATTCATGGAACCCTAATTTCATTATGTCCTAAAAAATTTCCTATCTCTTGTCTCCATATCTCTAATGATTATTTCAAAAACCTCGACATCTTCATCCTCCTCAATCCCCAGATCTTTAATAAATTGTCAAACTTTTGTCGGAACATCCTCCAAAGATTTTCTGATCTGTGAATTCTCTTGATCAACGTCGGCATCGCTGATAGAATCGCAACACAAGATTGATCCCCTAGAATACCTCGAGGAAGCTTCCTCCACCACATTAGAGCTAAGCATAATTCCATAAGGAACATCGCCTCTAGTAGGGATCAGTTTGTTTGTTGAGTGAATCAAAGTTGAAAAATAAGATGGAGAAAACGGGATCTTGATATTATCATAAATATCAATTAGCAATTTTTTCTTCCTATTCTTCGACCCAAAGCAAGGTCCAACAGGCCCATAGGTAGAACACGAAATCGAGTCCGATATATCCATGTCCAGACCCATCAGTGTAAGTAATTTGTTGTCCTGCAGATTGGAAACATTTTTGTCCACCCCCAACATTCTAGCCTCACCCGCTTCAGACACTTGTCCCATCTATGTACATTAACTATTGTGTGATCCCCCATAATGTTATCAATACTTCTGCCATCTTCACTCCTTTCAAACCCCCTCTTTTCACCATCAGTCTGAGAAAAAGAACACTCAGTCCATACTGAGTTTCTATTAATGGTTCCACCGGGTTTTTTTTTTTTCGTCTTACCTCCTCCCAATCACCCATGTTTAGTTGAGAAATTCCAAAAGTAATGTTAGTAATAGATATAGGTTTGTTGTTGAGTGAACGATAATGCAAATTTTTAATTACTTTCAATTTATACCAAAATTTTATTCAATCATATACTTTGACAAACACTATTGAAAGCTAATTTAAGTTATCCTTTTATATTTTTATGCTTGCAATTATGATCATAACTTTATTTTTGTACTTGACTGATAGAGTGTGTTCATGAGAGTATTTCACAAAGCCTTCTTGAGAGAAACTATATTGTGAGAGAATTCATTGGACACCAATATTGCTTTGTATTTTTCGATTTTCTCACTTCATATTTAGTCTTGTATATCCACTTCATGTCTAGCTTTTTAGCTCTCATGGGTAAGGAGGAATGTATTTTCCACAACATAGTTTTGTTCTTATTTTCAAATAATCTATTTTGTTGAGAAATATAGGAAGCACTGGATTGTCTCCTAATCTAATGCACATCACAAAACTCATATAAAAAAAATTGAAGCATATTCGCCCTTTTTATCTGTTATTAAACATAGAATTTTGCTACTTAATTAATTTTCAAAAATAACTTTAAACTTATAATAAACGTAAAATGCCTCTTATTTTTCGCTTCGAAAATAAATCTATGTTTTTCTACTAAAGTCTTATGCTAATGTGATGAAGTATATTTTTTTTCCATTGATCTAGGAATTAATTAATGGAACCACGTATGTTTTAGTGCACTAATTGTATATCTTGTATGTTGCTATACAAGAACACTTGTTTGGAATCACCTCTATGATTTTATGTGTTTATAAGGAATCAAATTCAAAATCACAAACATCATCAAACAAAACAAGGACGTTTGAAAAAAATCAAAAAGCAAGAATTTTGTTATGATTAACTCAAAAGAATCAAACAGTTTCATTTCTTAAAAGCTCATATGCGATCTCGTGCTCTATTGTTTTATCTTTTCTAATATAAAAATGTAATATAAAGTGTGTGGCTACCAAAATAGTAAGATTACATACACAAAATAAAACTTTTTTTTAAAACATAATCTATTTTCAAATCGCCTGTTAAAATCACTTTGGTTTTGGCCAAAATATTTTAAGCCAAAGTATAATTGACTATGAAACTTATATAATTGATTATATAGTTATATTTGGACTATAATCAATTATATAATTAATTATGAAACTTATATAATAAGATTATGGGGTGAACTACTTTAGTAATTGATTATTGAAACCATATAATTAATTATGTTTTGGACACAACAAAAAATTCTAATTTTTATAGGCCATTTCAATTATGATCGCAGCACAATCAATTATTAGGCTGACCTGATCCTAAAAATATTTCTTTTTTTGTCTAAATATTTTCCTATAAAATGAGAATTTCGGTTTATTTGAAAACACACAAGAAATTTGAATATTACCTTTTTTCTACTCTCACCCTTGCTTTTATCATTTTCGCATTCACTTAAATTCATTTTACTTGTGTAATTGTATTTTTGTCATTTCGATATAATTGTAAAACAAGAGAGTGAATTTTTCTCTTAAACTCTATATTTATAAAGGTTACAAGATGAACTGAGAGACTAAAGTAGGTCTTAAACTAAATAAGAAGGTGTGTTTCTTTTTTTCCATTATATCTTACTTTAGTATTATTTACTTTTCCGCTTTAATTTTCTTACTCTTTTCTTTTTTTAAATCAATCAAATCTCTTTAAAGTTTTAAAAAAAAAATTATCAGAATTCATCCTCCTTTTTTTTTTCTCTTTTGTTTGAAGTCACATAGGTAACAAGTGTCATTATACTATAACTTTTTCTTAAAGACTAATCGTCTCAGAAAGAAATTTGGATAACTTTTTTCTCAAGACTAATCCATTATACTATATATATCATGATTCACTCATATTTGTGTTTGAAGTAACTTGGATAACAGTCTTTACGCGTTGATTTTTCTCAAGATGTCAATGGTTTGGAGTCATGCTCTTTCAAACTAGGAAGATTTTTGAGTATTTCTTTTTGTCTTTTTGTGTCAACGTGCTCAAAACTTTCAAATTCAAATAGTCATAACTAAATGTGAGAATTTTACTCATGTGAAATTTTAAAGTAATAAAGGATAAGAAAAAGAGTAAAAATTACAAACATGCAATTGAAATGCATTTGAGTTGACGTTATCAAGTCTCTTT